CTCTCTCTCTCTCTCTCTCTCTCTCTCTCTCTCTCTCTCTCTCTCTCTCTCTCTCTCCCTCTCTCTGTTTAAATTTCACTCAAGAGTAGAGTGACTCGAATTTGAGTGATTTTTCACTTCTATAAGTAATTTGTTAAGCAAATATTTTCACTCGAAATTGAAGAATGAATCTTATGTGTTTTCCGCTGTCAGAAGAACATATTCGCTCATATAAAGTCAGAATGTCAGAATCCACTCTAATCCTAAATGAAACATTCTTGTGATTTCGGTTGGCAATATTTTCATTATCGCCTCAAGTGAAAATGTTGCCATTTATTACTTCAAGAAATTTAGAGAGCTCGACGCGCAACTTCAGCGACTTCTCATATAATGAGGATATCTTATGACTTACCGAGCAACAAATCGGGATTTCTACGCCGAATAAGTCTACGGGCGTGACTCCGAAGTATCCCATTGTATCTACTATTTCTGGGAAGATTTTGCGCGGCAATTTCAAGATATTTATCCCCCAATCGGCCCATTGCATCGTGAATGGATCGAATATACCAGTGCCAGAGGCGCAAGAAACGTCCATTATGTGCTTTCCTATGATACAAAGAAGGAGGGAGAAAAGAAATAAATCGTGCGATCGGCTAGAATTGCAATATCCTATTGTACGAGAAAAATATTTTATCGGGGTTCTCTAAGATTTTCTCTAAGAGCAATATTCATATAATCAGATTTATATTAATCTGTAACAGGTACCATGGAGTTCCAGGGACCCTAACTAATTTTATTTTCGTGATAATTCCTAAACTATCCACTGTATGGCGCTAATATCTTCAGTACCTTTCGAGTAACTGAAGAACTGAATTACTGAAAAACTGAGACTATTATTATACATGTCTAGTTGTAATATAATATTCGTAAAGTATTAATTTTGAATTATAAAGCGTTTTTCTTTCTATTTTTTATTATCATGTTAAAAGTGGTAAAAATTTATTGGGGTCCGCCTGAGCTCATTGTACCTATAGCTTGACTAAAAAGACATAGTACCTGTTACGGTAAAAATCATCTTGAGTTTATCTTCAAATATTATAGATCATTGTATTGATCACGGTACATCTGAAGGTAAACTTAAGACGATATTAAAGCTTCCCTGGTTATTCACCGCGACTATCTTGATTTAAGTCGTCAGAAACGAGGAATGCATGTCTGAAAATCTTGCAAAATACGTTGAAATAAAAAGATATATTCAAAAAATGACGTATGCAATTGATTAAATATGTCTCTAAAATGTTCCGAAAATATTTTCATGAAATATATAATTCATGAAATTTCTTTAAAATATGCACTTTCTCATTGCATTAACGATAAATAATCGTAAAATTGACGTGATAAAATAATAAAGAAACGTAAGTTAAAGAAGAACGTTACATGTGTTACATTAATTTTATTGTTACTTATTGATTGTTAAAGTCAAAAGAAAGTGTTCGTGGTATTTTAGAGGTATGCTTAATCGATTGCGAATGTAATTTTTTAATAAATCTTTTTATTTCAGCAAGAATTCCACAAGAATTTTGCATATATTCTTTCACGTTTTTGATCAATTGAGTCATTAGTCGAGAATTCCGTGGCGAATAGCCAGAAGCCTTAAATACAACATCGGATTACAATGTTGTGCTCGTGTTGTGTACGGACACGGAAATGATTTAGGGAACCGGTGTCGTCGCACGGCCAAAGAGGAGAGCAGTGGACAGTTAGTAATCTCTGTAGTTTAATAAACGTAATAATACTTAATAAAGGACTGGACAAGCCCTCTCGGGGGCTGGTTCTACTCTTTAGTATCCAAAATGTTAGGGGAATTGGATTGTCAATCTCAGTGGTCGCCTAACGGATTGCGCAGTTCGGAATGCAACGCTTTTCTGCAGCGCGTGCACTTCCGCCTTGTTATGGCAGTACGGTCGAAATGTCGTTGAAGGCGTTTCGACATTGTTATTAAAATAGTTATATTACAACAACAAATATCGGCCTAGAATTCTGAGATAAATGTAGAAATTGAGAAAATAGCGAAATACAAGTTGCCTTCCCATTCCTTACCCGTTAGTTTGTACAATAACCAAGAGTCGACGCCTCCGAACGCCACTTCGCCTTTTTCGGCGGCTTGCCGGAGACCCGGTATATTTTCAAGAACCCATATTAACTTCATGGTGACCTGCGAACAAAATCGAAATCGCCAATGGTAGTTTAGATCGGAAGAGACGCTCGTGGAAGATCTAGGAAGTCAACCGAGTAATTTTGAGTTAAACAAATATGCCAACCATGCCATTTAGAAACTTTAGCACGCTACCGGCCAAGAAGCGTTTGTTCCGCGTGAACATGTACAAAAGGCGTGCACCCATACGCACGACCTTCATCGTCATCGAATGATTCCACTCGTCGACCAAAGCAGCCGCTCGTTGATCTTTCCACGTTATGAATCTGAAACATCAACGACGCGCGATTGTAAAATCCCGGTTCGAGAATATCTTTCTCGGCACATAGTGGAGTCAAATTAAATTTTTTGTTTCAAAAGAATCTCGAAATTTAAATCGATTTCGACGCTGTTTTCTTTTTTCCAGTGAAATCTAATGAAATTTAAAACAACTTTGTCGAGCCAGGCTTTTATCTTTCGCTTCTCTTTTTTTAAGTGAGACACAAAAAAGTTTGATTTAAAATTTTTTTTTTAATAAAGCATTTTCGATAGATATCGAAGCTGAAAATTTGTTATTTTAAAAACAATAATTAATAAAAAAATTGATTACATAATACTCATAATTTAGTCTTATTTAATTTAATAGTTTTTATTTACTAAAATTTTAGGTGCTCTCTTTATTTCAATTAAGAAATCTCGTTAAGAACTCGTTAAGGACTCGTTTTAAGAAACGAATTAAATTAAAAAACTCATTTATTAAGGTAAGATTTAGTGAGTCTACGTCAGTCCGTATAACTGTTTTCAAATTTATAATCAGAATTTAAATCTTTAATTTTAATATCAATATATGTGTCTGATATTAAGTTAGACGAGATATGAAATAAATTATTTGCTATTTGATTGAAAAAAATTTCTGTATGTAACTTCTGTATGTTTGATTTAGAAGAAGAGAAGCAGCAAATAAAAATCTGACTCAACAAAGTTGCTTTAAATTTTATTTGCTTTTATTAAAAAAGGGATCGGTTTAAATTTCGAAGCTATACTCTTCTTTGAAACATGAAATATCACTTGATTCCACTGTGCGCTTTGATCACGTCGCGGCATTGCGCTACCTGTGATAAGGCAACCCGGTCTTTAAGCTCCACGTGATGAAGGAGGCACGCTGCGACGAAATTCCGAAGGAACGGATCGATGTAGGGTCGATATTGCTGTCTGCAATCATAAACGACGCGAATTGATCTAATGCCGATTGCGAACGTGAAGCACACAGTCACAGTAACGTAAAATAGAGCGTTACAGGAAAAGATGTTAAGCCGGTCATGAGTGGTAAAATGCGGAAAACTGCAAAAGCTAGCCTATAATTCTTTTCTCCCATTTTGTCTTTATTTTTAGATTTTCTTTTTTTCCCTCACTTATTTGACGGATACAGTTGAGACTTTATCCGGTGTGTGGGACCATTCATGATCGACTGCGTTAAAGAAACGTTCTGTCAGTCAAGGGTCAATTAACATAGGAGAAAAAGAAACAAAAATTGATGACAAATTAATACCATGGAATTGAGCCGAATGCTGCTAGAAGCCACACGAATACCACGGTATTTTAATTGGGGTTACGAGCGCAACTATGTACATGAACAGCAAGCGTTTTAACGAGTGCAACGAACATTGCAAATAGAATGACGTGATTTCTTACTTTCGATGCGTCCGATTGGTGTCACCTTGGTTTACGGTGGCAATTTCTAGAACAAATACAGAAAATCTAGAATCGAGATACAGAAATGAGGTTTGACACATTCGACGGGTAGCCAAGGATTTAATTTAAGCCGACGTTGATCTTGCCTCCATGCTTACGACGGGATCGATCAAATTTTATTTAGTTCATCAATCGTGTCGGCGATGCATCGTACGAAATTCAAAGATCAAACGCGTCTCAAACTGAAGCCTCAAATGTCTACTGAGAAATGCGTGAAACCAACGTTTTCTGCGTTCATCTGTTCCAGATAATCACCAGTAGCCTCGTGAAGAGGTTCGTGTGCTTCTCGAGTAACAGTGACAATTATTTTGTTTTGAGTTCTCATGTTCTCATGGTAAGTTTCGATCTTTGATGCGAGGTGATATTACAAGTACCGAGTGAAACGGATATGTATGCTGTTATGTGCCGCAACATCTCATTTAAAAAGAAATCCATTTTTAGACGACGAGAAAACTGTATTTTAGAAACTTTTATATCGAACCAGTGACATATTATATTCTGTATCTAAATCTTATGCCTGTATATAAAAAATACTATATTTTATAAAAATAATTTAATTTTATATTAATAATTAAAATTTTAATTTTGAAATATTTTTTAACATAATTTTTACTAATTACAAAATAAAAAAGTAATTAATTTGATATTATGCCTAAGAATTATTTGTATTTTAGAAAAATATTATAATGCGCAGTCTAATAATTGTTATTCATAAATAATAATTGTTATTCACAAAATAATTATAAGCTATTCTTTTAATTTAATGTGAGATGAAGGGAATTTCATGTCAATATAATATTGAAGGGAACTTTGTGACAAAATGTAACAAAAGAGAGATAAAAAATATTCAAAATTTCATGTGACATAATTGTTAAATGGCCTTATAATTATGTATCGATTGTATGTATTACCTATTAGAAATAGATCATACTTTCTTAATCATACACATGCTTCCTGCTTGAACAAAAAAAGTCTGTCTTAGTCTTTAAATAAATATATATTCTTTAGGCTCGATTGCACCACAATCGAGTGTTAAGCTAACTAATAGTTAGATCATATGTCCATATTTGTTTGTCCCTTAAAAGCAAACGACAGACAAGTACTTTAACTATTAGTTAGCTTATCACTTAGTTGATGTAACCAAGCCTTAACTTCATAAACGCCAAACCTAGATGTTAGTGCTCGTTCGCTGCTCTCGCAAACAGCACATCCCGCATCGATAATAAAGTTTAAACTTATACAATATTCCGTGGCTCAGCTCGTTTCAATCTGAAGATCATTTCACTTTATGTTGCGTTTCACACATAACAGCGCATGCTACAGGAACTGCGTACATGGATCTCGCCTCGACCAAGACAATTAAGGAATATTCGAGTTCACTGGATTGATATTCTCGGACCAGCTAGACGACGATGATACCAATAGCTTACCGGTCAACACATCCTTGATCATTTTCGTTATTGTCTGCCAAAGCTCGTTAGGATCTATCTCTACGTAGCCAGGTTGCGGATAGATCAGATTCACCTAGATCGAAAACATTTTTAATCAACTTCCAGTTAAAGAAAATGTCCAACTAACTACGATAGTGTGCGCGTTTGCATCAAATTGATAAAAAGAACAAAAAGAAATCGAATTAACCTTCGGTAATGTCGGAGTTCGTTGGATTCAACTTTAGCTTTTGGATTTTTTCGAACATTTTTTTGTCAGGATTAATATTTCACGATTTTTGTTCTTTCACAGAGGCCTTCCAAGGAACAAAGAAGAAATTAATTTTTATTTATTTATTTTTTAATGGAACGAAACTCTCCCATTTGCCCGGCAGTTACCACACAGCCTGGTGTGCTGGGGATTAACGAAGTTAACGATCGCATTTAGTCCACGGCTGAAGATTCCTAATGGCTTTTGACACGCGCGGTAGGAGACTCCTACATGTGCAAAACCCGTTCGTGTAATGATGCACGAGTATGCGGTATACAGAGAGCGATCAGACGCACACGTTCAATGACCTCTGCATCGTGATGTTTAAATCGACGCTCAGTGACGCGCGGTCGGCACTCGGCGAATGCAGTCTACCGTGAAGTATTCTAGTAACTGTTATTCCTATACTATTGATCCGTGGCAGAGCCGAGGAAGGCCTTTATTGCAGTCACCTTGACTTCAAGGTGCTCTAGAGGCAAGTCCGCTTTCGGGCAGCCTGTGTAATCGCCGCATCTAATCGCTTGCTGTTTACGCATATCGTATAATTACCTGTATACCTCAAGCGAAATAACGAACCGCAATTAAGATAATCTTTTCCCGACGATATTTATAGAAAGTTATATAATGTTTAACGTTGTATAACGTTGTATAACGTTAGTATAACGTTGTATAATGTTTATAAAATGTTTAACACGAAGTTATATGTTTAACAAAGTTTTATATAATGTTTAACACGAAGAAACATTGTGCTATTTATAAATACGACTTATGATGTGTACTGTTTTGATACTACAACGAGAGACTATCAATCAAACTTGCGTAATGTCTAAAGACCTGCGAAGAAATAACACTCGTTTTTCTCGCGCTTGGACATAATACTTTTGGCTGGGACTGTCCGTGTTAGATATATGTTTGTAACATACCATACGTATCTATAGACACACACTGATACACGCTATTAGAAGAATAACTGTGTGACATTGGATCTTTTCATATCTTACTATATTTACTTACTATATTTACGTATTTTTATATATTGATTATAGATCTTTAAGATTATTGAACTATCATGTTTTTGAGGAGATACTTACCCAAGAGCGATACTGAAGGAAATATAATATATAAAGTATTACAAAATTATTACAGAATAGCCATCGTATACTTTAATTGTTACCATAAATTGTGTACTTTACATCTACATTTCTTAAAAATTAGACGGTCAACGACCTTGTAACTTTTTATAATATTTTTGTAGATATAATTATTCATGATATATTTTTAATAATTTATAATATTATTTATAATATTTTAGCTCATTTATTATCTTCTTTTTTCTCATTAAAACCTTATTAAAATAATTTGTTAGAATTGATAACGTAATATTTGAAACCATCTTTGTGCCTATAAACAGTACTAACTTTGACTTCAATTATCTCAGCTTTGACGTAGTCAATCCTTTTCAAATCGCACACATGTATTGATTGTATTTCGATTAATATACTGCTAAAATAAGAAAATATTCCTAAAAAGATTGGTTTATGAAACAACTATTTTTAAAAAATATTTTGCAAGACCGGTCTAACCTTTCGAGATTTATTTTTCTCGTTCCTGTCGCCAGAGAAGGAATTTAAATTTTATTTAAGTGTTATTATTTATGTTTACTTAAGCGGAATTTTTAAAGGAAGGAAGGAAAAGTAAAAGTTATGCATTCCATCGGAGGAAAACGCTGAATAAATTGGATATCAAAGGTATCAAAGGTTAACGGTGATATTTAAAAATCTTTTTTAATATCTATATGGCCTTAATATCGTGCAAAAACACTCGACACTTTTAGTAATAATTGGTCACCCATTATATGAAATGAAGTGAATCAGTTCTCATGGCATATTATTATCGTGCACAATCGTGCGCGTTTTGTATAACAAAACATGCGCGATCGATTCAAGGTTACGTTTAACATTTGTTACGAAATTGCTACAAAACTCTAGTCCATAACATGATTAGATATGTCTTATCTGAAATAAAAGTGGATATATTCTATCATATTTTTTATTTGCGACCGACAACGCACTATAAGGAATAACAACGCAATATTATCGAAGCACGGGAGCAGTCGTCTCCTCGATTCTCTTTTCAATTTCGAGATTATTAGGTCTGTTCTTCTTAGCTGAACTGTCTGAACTGGTGTAGACTGGTGTAATAAATTAGAGTGAAAAAAATATATTTGTCTCGCTCTAATTTATTGCACCAGTGTACAGTCGCGGACAATAAGATTGATTGGTTTTGACTTCATGCGATTCAGTTCAATGAGATGAATTTGAATGGCGCGAAGTTAAAACCAGCCAACCTTATTGTCCGTGACTGTACACCAGTTCAAACAGTTCAGGTAAAAGGAATAGGCATAATGTTTGTTCATTGACTTCTAACTTTAGCTTGATTCTTCTATTCAACCTCCTCGTGTTTCTCATTTCGCTCCGCCTCTGTCTTTTATTTGTGTTGAATACATATCAAGAATATAATATGAATTGAATATAACATAAGCATTACATTGAAACTTAACTAACGTTCCCTCTCACGCTATTTAGAATCCCATTCAGGCCTCGATGTGTTTCCGACTTACATCAATTGCGGTAAAAAAAGATAACCATTATGTAATAGTAAAAACAACTCGATAACATCGGTTGTGATAATTATTTGTGATTATTGCGTGCTAATTATTTGTTTGTTCGTCCTACTTGCCTCTTATCGACGCTTATACACCCTGCTTTAAATTATCTATGCTACGCGGCCACGCTACTGTTCCGACAATCTGTCGCTCGACTGTTGGAGGAACGCGAAAATTCGCAAGCGATCGATCGTGACAAACCTTCTGCGATAAGGAAGCCACCGTTTCAGCTGCCTTATTCAGGACGTGGAAGCGCACCGTGGTGGTGCCGATGTCGAGCGCCGCGACGTACATGGTGCCACTTCAGTACAGCGTATCTTTTGTGGGGGCGGGAGAATTTGAAAATTTCGCGCGGTCACACGCACAGTTGCACGCACTCACACACTATAAATTGTAGCGACGCTCGCGAGCTGTTGGGTCCGCTCGATCTACTGAGGTCCAACACCGAGTATCGATTAATATACACAGCGCTGTTCCGGCGTTCGAGTTACCGACAACACGAATCAAATGCTCTTAGTGGAGTAGGGAATTAATGAATAAACCGGTTGGCGATCGGCGTCGCGATCGTGCACGTCGCTCGCTTATCGGCACTCGACTGCCTGTGAATCGCAGTGGTCGTGCATTACGCATGCTCTTTCACAAGGAGGCTTATCTTTATCGAGAGGCTTTACTCGCGCGCCACATAATAAAGTGAAGAACTCTCGACTAGTTTGTGCGTGCCCCTATGGGGGCACATAATAAGTCATACACGTGCTGAACATTGTTATTGAAATACATCCGGCCTATAGCCGGAGAAGAAGATCCGTATTATATAATCGTTGTTTGGAGCCTGCCTCAGGTGAGACACTCACAGAGTTAGGCGCATATTAACTCTTTGCTATCCAAGTCAATTTCTCACGTTTAAAAAATTTGTCATATACATAGGTTGTTTGAAACTGAAGTACTCAATACATATAAGGTAAAATTTTACATTTCTAATTTTTTATTTCCTCAAAATAGATTTGTGACTCTAAGATCACGTTGAACAGTTACTATCGCTGTCAATATACTAAAAGAAAGCAGCCATATTATGCATCATGTAATATCGATTAAGATAAGAAAAACATTCATATTGGAGATAAATAATGATGAAATGTGAGTCACAGTGAACAATACAAGGTTAATAGTTATTATTTGAAACTCATCTCAAGTGATATTTAGTCTCAAATCTCAAGAGATACTTAGATTTTAATTTAGAGTCAGATGAAAGCTTTTCCAATGGAATCTGAATTGAGATGTAAGTGTTACATATATCGACATTCAACTGAAAAACTTGGAAATCTAATTCAGAATAAAAATTTGAGAGTCTCGCATAAGCCACTAAATGACAAATATTAATATATATAACATGATCAATATAAATTACTGATAACAAAAATCAATAAACCTTAATTTGGAGTTAGATTGAGTTTTCCAACTGGAGTGTAATTTTGCGTATATTAGATATGATTTAAACAAAAAACTCATCTAATTCTAAATTCAGACTTGATCTCACATAGGTCAAGTTTTGAGTAACGGCTATTAATAGTCGGGCCAAAAATTGTAATAGCAACTGCATGAGTTTTATGTACAGAACTGATGTATATAATTTAATAAAATATTTCGTAAAGTGTGTGTTATTGCAACTAAAGCTGGATAGTTAGAAAAACTACGTAATTAATATACTGAAAGAAAAAAATATTTGAAAGATGAAAAAATATTTACTCGTTGGATATTAATAATGCATTTAGTCTACATTACTTCATTTAAATAGAATAAACAATTACTTTCACGGAAAACTGAGATTTGAAGAAAACGTATATTTTTTTTATTTGAAGATATTTTTTATTTGAAGATATTTTATATTAGAAGATATTTTCTCATTTGAAGATACTTTATATTAGTATAAGTAAATATGTGTTATCAGTACACAGCGAATAAATATTTTTTTATTTTTTAGATTTTTTTTTCTCAGTGAATCAGTTGTAATAATTACAGAATAATGTATTAAACTTTATATATTAATTCTACATACAAAACTCGTACAACTATCGTATAGTTGCTATCACTGTCTCTTTTTCTGTCAGTGTGGTTTTAAGTGTCAGATTACGACTGGAATACGCGACTGAAACATCGGTGACGTTGCTGCATTCCTCGCGAAGCTAATCACTGACGGTCTAATTGGACGGTCATTCAGACTCGTAGTTATCACGGTAGCGCCTTTGCCGTGGTAGTGTCCATCGCGACGGTATCACCGTCGTTGCAATTGCGACTATAACGGCCGCGATCGATATTGTTCTAGATAAAAGAAAGTATTATTTGAAGTATCTTATCTTAGTATCTTCCTCCGGCTCGCGCGGTCTCACGGGCTTTGTTTCACGAGGCTCTCACGCAATCGGTAATCGGTAGTAGCTCGGTTTGTCATTTGTGACTCGGTTTGTCGTTTGTAGCTACGGTAAAATTGAAAGAGCATTTCCTCTCAAGAACATTCTACAAAGACGGAGCAGTGGTCTGCTTCTTATCACATCACTGGAAGTCGGACTGCACGTCTGCGCTGGTATGACATGATTCACGGAGCTCGATAGACCAGAGCAATTTAGGTGTGCTGTTTTATGATCCACGTGGCTAATTTATTAACTTGAAGTAAATTTACGTTGACCTTCGCACAGGTTCACATATAAGATCGATAATTGTAGGAACAATATGATAATAATAGTATATATGATTGGTTCGAATTTAATTTCTCGTTTTATGGATTTAATCGTCGGAGATACGTCGGTTCTACGACTTGCTACATTGAAGGCTTGTTAACTGGAAGCTTGTTACGTGGAGTCTTCCACTTCCTTCAATTGCGATGTCTTTTCTGAAGTAGCCGAATCTGCGGACTCGTTGTCCTTATTCACCTCCGTTGATTCGGTTTCCGTCGAATCCGGTATTGCGATCAACGTGTTCCCTCCTAAGAAGATTCCAAATATTTTCTCGTCTCTCAAGTTTTTTAGATTTTTGAGAGGATTGAAAGGGCTGTTTAAGTTAGAGAATTGAAATATCTTGAGAGCATACTTGTTTGATGTGCTACTACCTACGAAGAGAGACTTCAAGTAAGCGAGCTTTTCTTCCAGAAACTCCTGTATTTTGTGAAATATGGTATCCAGCATATAATGTTTGCCAGCTTGGTGTATCGCGATATCTGTCTCGTTCTTTATGTTGTTTATGTAATTAGTCATGGTCTTGCTCTGCGTGCTGATGGTGTTCTTGATATTGCTGGCCATATTCTTCGCATTTTGCTCGAGATTCGTGAAAGTCGAACCCAACATATCCTCGAAACCTCTGTTCATGTTGTAAGCGTTCGAACTCACTACGCATACAGCTACCTGGTATATCGCAAAACGAAAGAATTTTTATTCATCTATTATTTCGCGCTACGCCGATAAAAATGTTACAGTTGGCCATATTTCTCGATGATCGTGTTAACCCCAGCCGAAATTTTGATCCTACTTTCGACCTCGACATTCCATTCAACGTCAACTTCGATACCTATAACAATTTTATTTGATTTTATTTAATACTCTAGCTTTGCGTGAAAGGTCCTCTTCGGAATATATAAGTGGCACTCCACATTGAAAAAATTATTTTTGTATTTGGGACATTACGATTTGATTGACATTATGCTTTTTTACTTTTGTCAAGTAGTATGTATTAGAGAAAGCAAAATACGTGCAAGCGGCAATTAAATTTTTTCGTTGCAATTATCAAACGTTTTATTTGGAGATTAAATTTTCATTTCAACAGCAAAATTTTATTTCAGCGTATGCGTTCTCTATGCCACTTAGAGACGCAAAGTACGAGTTTAGTTTCCATGTTAGTATTAAACATAGGACTTCAATATTTACTCGGATTTGACATTAGCCGGTATCCGATTATTCGGACAGTTGATAAATATAACACTTCAAATTCGAATTATCTGCAAATCCTCGTATCTCATGAGATATACGAACATAGAAAGAACGATTTGGTTTAATAAAAAAACACTTCTTTGAAATAATCCAAATAAATTTTTTGATTGATCGAATAAAAATTAATAACAAAAATGATCTATACGCTCAGTTCCAACGCGACGTGCATTAAGCCGGACGCGTTAAACATTGTATCTTCCTCGCGTGTATAATATCAAATATCTGTGGTTCACCTCGAAGGTCGCTTTCAAAATGGCTAGTAAGCGATTCCTCTTGGAGAACTATTTCCAGATCGCAAACGGCAATAACATTATGAACAGTAACAAGTCAAGTACGTATATGATAATCGCGCAAACGATTTTTTATAATCCCAAAAATCTCCTTACAAACATTTTCATTTAAATTAGACCCTCTTACAAATTGCTTAAACAATTAATTGTCTAAATAAATTAGTTTTCCAATTCCGACTTTATATTCGTACTCAGTGACCTAAAAAATTTTTGGATACGTTTGATACGAAATTTTTGGAAACTTCTAAAATCGTGAAACATGTCTCTACTCACTAGTTCAAACAAATTATTGTTTAAACAATTTGTAAGGGAGCCCAATTTAAATGAAAAATTTTTTAAGGGGATTTTTGAGGTTGCTGAGAACGAATATGACGTCGGAATTGAAAGATTAATTTGTTTTAACAATTAATTGTTTAAACAATTTGTTTAAACACAATGATTTTGCAAATTCGACTTTATATTCGTACTTAGCAACCCCCAAAACTCCCTTACAAACATTTTCATTTAAATTAGATAAATTAAAATTTTTACTCCCACCATTTAGCCGCCATATTGAATTCGCCATTTTGAATTTTTAAAAATAGCACACGACACTCGAAAGTTTATATTTTTATGCGAATTTTAAGCCCTTACTTGTTTATTTTAACTCAAACTAATTTTGGGCAGCTGGCTTTACCGGTTGACAAATAATAACCCATATATATATATATATATATATATATATAGAGAGAGAGAGAGAGAGAGAGAGAGAGAGAGAGAGGGAGAGAGAGATTTGGATCCAAATTCGATGCTTCAATTGTTCGTATATCTCATGAGATACGCGGATCCACGGATATCCAAATAATGCGGTATTGAAATGTCAAATTGGAATTGATTTTGAATGCCAAGATAGTCATTTGTTTGAATATTTAAGAGTCCTAATTAAACATACACTTTTTTTCTTCGAAATATACACGAAGAGCAAAAAATATCTGAAAAATAAAAACTACTTCGGTAGGTATTAATAACATATTTACTTAAATCTACATTCTTTCATCCAAGTAACACAAACACTCATTTTCATGAAAAAAGCGCAACGGTGGTGTGTTTTAGGAAAAAATATATTTTCTCGTTTGAAAGAAATTATTTCTCAATGTGAAAATATTTATATATTAGTACGAGTAAATACCCATCAAATAAATTATCAATACCCATATCAAATAAATATTTCTTATTTCTTAGAAACTTTTCTTCTCTTAGTGTACAGAAAGCTTAGGTCAAAAGTAGGGCTAAAATGTCGCCTCGGGATCACCTAGTGAAGTAAGAGCAACGAGCAATGATTATCAGAAACGAAATTTTGACAGATTTGACAGATGGCTTTATTAAATACACAACCGCAGTAACACTTCGGAAAATTGCCGTATATAAGTGAAAACTTACAAAGAGGGAAAACACCTTTGTCACCCACATGATTTCTTCTCTCGACAATGATGCGCCAAATTTAACGAGCTGAGTCACAATACACGCGAGAATTTTGGCCGTTGCTCTATATATCAACCGGCTGTTTCGCAATGACTCGGCATTATGTTTGCCCATCGCAGAGCATCGTTTGCGAATCCGGAGGGTTATTGCGAAACTTTCGCATTTGTTAATGAGCGGTCCCGCGGCTGGAGTTTATCGCGTAGCGCGAAGGTAACGCGAGATCAACGATTACGCCCGTAGACGCTGCGAACAACAACGGCGAGCAAACCGCTGTCACGTCGGCTCATCGTGACGTTAATTTATTGCGGGGTAATTTGTACTCTATGTGCTCCGAACAATTTTCCTCTTTTTCGCGGTTGGCGCGAGACCAGCGTCGCTGGAAACTTTATTATCGTCCTTATCAGATGTAGCGATGCGTGAATATTTGTGCTCGCTCTTAGAATCCGCTTCGACACGATACACGTCGTCCAACGTGAACAGCACGGCCGTAAGTAACGACACGCCGGCTAAAATTATCCACATGCTCAGCTCCAGCGCGACCTGCATTAAGCCGGACACGTTAAACATTATGTCTTTCTCGCGTGTATAATATCAAATATCTGCGGATAGGTTCACCTCGAAGGTCGCTCTCAAAATGGCTAGTAAGCGATTCCTCTTGGAGAACCATTTCCAGATCGCGAACGGCAATAACATCATGGACAATAACAAGTCAAGTACGTGTATGATAATCGCGCAGACGATTTTTTTCACTTGTACCGTGTTCCACGGTTTCTTGCGCATGCTGACGCGATAAATCACGTAAATCACGCAAATTAATCTCGCTCAGGATGTACATGATGTATTAGATCAGTTAAAAATGCGATTGAACTTTGGTTAAATTACATCACATGCGTCTAATAGAGAATGTTGACGAATTATCGACGACGATCGATCGATCAATGAATAATTTGTCTCTATTGAATACAAAATAAGGTCAAACTCAACTCAAACGTCGAACCGAATCTTTTCATTGACTCATACATTGATTATTTGATAGATTGATTAGTAGTTGAAATTTAATTACCAAATAAGAGATTGTAGAGATATCTGTTATGTAATATACGTGTAAAAGAAGATGTAAGGCAGCGACTCTCTCATTGCAAGAAAGGTTAACTGACGAAACGAACTTTTTACTTACGTGATTATTGGTTTCTTAATGGCACATTTTTTGGATTTAAGTAAATTACTTTTGGCCTCGTACTTCCACGCTCGATATGCTTGTCGCACAATTTATCCAGCGCCGAACTCTACAGCATACATAACGCGATCTTAGCCTATATATTATCAAACGATGACCCAGAAATTAAAGTCGATTTCTTTGCTTCAGTATTTTCGCTCGTTTAATCGTGTGATCAATATTTGTTCGACCGTAAATCGGAGAACCGAGCAGATAGTATTACGTGAAGATTAGAGCGCGTGCGATTTGTCGTCCATTAATGGGTGCAACTGTCAAACGGCTTACGTGTTTGTTATCTCAGTGGTCGAACGCCAGAATTTAGGCGGATGTCTCATTTAGTGACAGTATCCCAATTAGTGACAATTATACGTACGATTATACGTTTATTTTTTTATAAATTAGTTTGCATTAATTTATTCTTAATGAATTAGTATATAAATTAGTTTATGTATTATATGTTTATTAGTTTTTGTTTCTTATGTGAATATGTGTTCGTATAAACCTGTGTTTACTAAATTTTATTATTTATATTATATTTTATAGTTACAGCAGGTTCATTAAATTAAAAGTCACAGAGTAAATTCTGGAACATCATAATTTTCCAAATATACTGCTGACAGTGATAGTTCAAACAATTACTCGCCGACATTGCAAAACACATAATATCATATATCTTATTGCTAAATCTACGCAGTTATATTTTAACTTCAAGCGATTGAAATATCAAAGTTGAAAGAAGATTAAAGAATATTTTATAAGTAGAGAAAATAATTAGAGGATACGTAATTTTCGCAATTAATTTATACATATAATTAATCGAGACTAAGATATTTATTTGTCCTGATTAGTGATCTGAATAAATATGACAAAATGATATGAACGTCCCTATTTCTAGTAACAACACGTGATTTGTAAATCTTATTTATTATGGAAAAATAGCATAATAATCTTTTCATAATCTTTTTCTCCAGAATTTATTATAAATATGAGTCATCATCCTGTAAATTGTATCCTTGTCATCCTTGTCATATTTAAGTCGGTAACAGGTCAGTAAAACATTTATGATTTTGTATCTATTTGTGATATTCGAATAATAATTATTTATTATTTCTCATTAATTAATTTATAGATTTCTTTATTTTCATGGCGCACGCACGATTATTTGGTCATTAGTCGAAACATTCATTTCATGTCACAAATCGGAACAAAAGTAAACTGTCATATCATTAAATGATATATCTTAGTCACTTTTGAGAAAATATAATATAAATAAAGTAAAATCTTCTCATAAATTAGAAAAATATAGTGCAATTAAAATCTCAAATGTTTAAGCCTTCTAACAAAATCGATTCTGTGTATATTTAGCTTAACGCGTATATTATTAATTAATTAGTTAATTTTCACAACGAAGTTACTTATTGGGATATTCACGTTATTTACAAGCTAATCTTGTTGAAACGTGTTGTAACTTACGTCAAAATGCGTATTTACTCTCTTATTCAATATCTCCCAATGTATATAATCAGTGTCACTGAATTATTGCGCCGTAAAAATATACATCTTCGTGCTCAAATATGAATAAACGTCCGTGTACGGCATTAAGAATTTATTAGCAATCTACATACATCTTACGGCAATAGCATTTAATATGTCCGCGTGACGTCGCGCTAGAATAAGCTAAGATCGTTATCTAAAATTAACTAATCGCTAACTTTCATAATACTTTTTGGTGCGTAGAAAAAAGAGACACCAAGTCATGGTTACTGCGTATAAAAGACGAAATGCGAAGTATCGCGATTCGCGACGCGCCAAAAGCAGTGGTCGCTCCACGAACTATCGAATACTCGAGCTGACACTTGTAACGCTTCCAAAATAGCATCCCCCGGATCGTCGATTTGATGAGCCTCTAGCTTGGTCCTTCCACGGGACGAAGGACACGTCAATGCGAATCCGTGGTCGTCAAACGAATCGATCAACTGATTAGTGACCGCAATAATGGTGACTTGCGTGCCGATGGTATCTGTGCGTGAGATTTCTCGAGCGCTTCCGACTCTGCCTGTTGGCTATTTGTTGCCTGTAGACGAACAGCGGCCTGAAAACCATGGTGTCTTGCGCCTGCATGTCCTCGGCCTCGCTGGCGACTTTCTCCCCGACCTTGTTCTCCGGTCCCTCGCGAACAGATCTCCTCGCCCGGACGTCGAAGTTTTCCTCGTGCGATCCTAATCTCGCGGCCTGCCGATTCGCAGCTGCTGCTGCCAAGGGCAGTCTCTCGATCAAACCATTAGTCGCTATTTTGTCCTTCGGCATTCCGTAGACTTCCACCTGCGAACAATATTCCATGTCAAATCATGCGTCGCTCTGTGAAAGATAATTCGACGACAATCGGTAATCAAAGCTGACAATATAGATATTGAAATTTACAAAATGCGCGCTCTCGTACATTTAAACATTTTATAAATCTCATATTTATGTATGTTATAATTTATATATATAATTTTATATAATTATATATTATAATTATATATTATAATTTTATATAATGTATATATTATAATGTCATTAATTTAAAGTAATTTAAATGTACAGTATCGGTCAAAAGTTGAGAATCCTTGATAAAAATGTTTATCGAGAATAATTGGATTATTACCCAGACAATTGTTTTAAAGATAAACATTTTTATCAGTGATCTAGACCTTTGATCGGTGCTGTGTAGATTTGAAATTCGCGACAAACTATTAATCGAAGATAAACATTTACCAGACGGGCACTCTTCGGAGCGTCGCTGATCCGATCTTCTCTCACGTGCAGCCTCTCGATAACGCCATTATTTTGCAGATGTTTTCTCGGCAAACCGTACGCGCTAATGCCCGGTTTATCCTCCTCGAAATCGAAGTGGATTACCTCGCCATTCGGCCCGGTCTGATTGCGAGACTGCAGTCGCTTAACGTGTCTCTCGTTATCCGTGGATGTGCGTGATCGCGTGAAATCGGTCTCACCGATTGCCGGTTGATCGGTGGGATTCGGCGCGATGTTTGCACGCTGTCGGACTCGCGCTTCGCTCAAACTCAGCGAGATTATCGCCAGCAGCTGGAAAAATAAACAAATAATGACAAATATTGAGCGACGACAATGACGATCTGATTTCACGTCTGTGTATGTGCTTTTCCTATATTACTTTATTCGTTATCAGTCGACACGGTGTACGTCACGCGGGATATAGTAAGCATTATCACCTGCGGTCTGCCTTGATAGCAGTCTTAATCACACTTGCGAGCAAAAACGCGGAAGATTGCATGTTTCCTGTGCGTTCCAATAGCATTTACTTAATCGACGGAAAATGTCACCGTCGTGACCTCAGCGCAAAAACTACTTATTAAGTTCCGATGATGTAAAAAGAAATATTTCCCGGCTCGTCCGACGTTCCAACTCATTCGCTTGCAATATATAGGAGAATACAATTAAGAATACAATTAAGTGGAACTGCACTGACGCTTCCGTTTTTTATGACAATCAATGAAGCGAGGCACATTCCAACGTCTGCGCTCGTCGCAGTTTAGACAGTCGTTATTAAAAATAGCGAATTAATGATTCGAATTATACTTTATGCAAACAGTTGGAAATTGAAGCGTGTTCGATGCGCGATATTCTACAAAAAGTTGATAATCGTGATTTAAGAATAGTTTTATGATGAGGACTATATAGAGAAAGAAAGCGAAAACTTCTGTGATGAAAAAGGAAGAAATGAAGATGACAGGTTCTCAGAAATGAAGAAATACAAGAAAAATGTAGAAGGTAGATTTAATTTAGAAAGAATGTGAGAAAAGTGAAAAAAATGGCACAGGTTCAATTGAAAATTAGCTAATGTGAGAAAAATGAAGAGGGTAGATTTAATAAAAAATAATACGAGGATAATAACAAAACTGAAGAAGACGAATTGGAAATTAAGTTAATGTGAGAAAAGTGAGGAGTAAATTCTAATGAAGAAAATTAGATCAGTGTAAAGAAAAGATTATTTTACATTCGATCCTTACTGTCACACAATATATCACTCGTCTCATTGCGCGGCTTTCTTCTATTCCGGTTGCGGATATCCTGCGTAGCTCCTGCTCGGACTCTCAGGCGGTGTTTGAAGGAAAAGATCGGCCGCGCATCGGTTATATACGTAAGCCGCGGGTTGCGATCTCGAGGAAGGCAATTAAGCCACTCTCACACGAGAGTCGATGATATGCAGATTCGTTGTAGTACCGTCTCGTTCCCAGTAAAAGAGCCAGCGCGCGATACTGCAGCTAATGAGTCATCTTTGTTAGCTGCGCCTCGGCGGAGGGAGTCGAAAAATCGCGATGTTCTTTTTACCGGGTTCGATTTGAACTGTTGGGTGAAAGCTCTTTACAGAGAAAGAGCAAAAAAGACGCCGGGTCCAATGGACTTTCGGCTGCCTTTCGACGATTCATCCTCGGCGAAACAATGATCCGAGAATGCACGCGGTGCCTCTGATCAGGTTGGCGATTATGTGACTCTTCCCCAAAAGTGGAAATGCGAAAATTGAAAAGTTTCATGTGAATTCAACGACTTTAGGGATCGTGTAGCCATCTCGGATAATAAAAATATGAAAATCTTCACGTGAAACTGTTTGCCTTTCGTGGGTTTTTCATGCCAAGGGAAACGATGTATGATCGATATCTTGAGCGCGAATCGAGATCAGTCGACGTTGTTTCCGCCCTTGACGGTTGACTGAGTGAATTCCGCAGGTGCTAAATGCCTATTCACCGAACACGAAACGTAAGCACGCACGATTCACACATGTCGCACATGCGAGACTGACTTTCCCACTCTCCTAATACCTAATGATTCGCGACAGTGCTTCTCATACAAATATCCCGGCATTGGACAAGCAAGCCGGAGGAGCGAGACTGTGACGACGCGATAGTATTTTTTACGTTTTCCACATACTGAGAGATATTATTCGATAGGAAATTTACAAACGGATATTTCCGATCAAAATACCGGTGCATTTTTGTATTTAATCAGGAAACATCCGATGAGAAGTATCGATTCATAATTTTTTGATCGGTTTATCTGATGAAATGCCGTTATGATCGGAAGTATTCGATTAAATTTAATCGAACATAAAAATTTATCGGTATTTTGATCGGAAATATTCGATAAAAAATTAAGTGCATTAAATGCACAAAGATTTGTGTTCGCGCGGGGAATACCGATGATCACTCGATCGAAAAAAATTGCTTGAATCGTTCGTTGTTTTCTTATATTCCGACAGAATTGGCAGAATCTTCCCTCTGCTTTTTCAGTTTACGTCCGTGTCTCGATTGAATCGATTATTGAATCATCCTGGGAAAGAGCGCGTTGATCAGCGAAAACCGGTCCTTCGAAAGTGTATACGCGGCGTCGCGAATAATTGACAGACAACCGCTGCGTTGCGTCGTCGCATGAATGAATAGATAGAAGAGCGGGTGACTAACTATTTCCCCCTAGAGGCATCAACGATGACACGCATGCTATAGTCTACCGTGATTTCTGCCGTCACATTCCTGGTAAGCACGCCAGTGATCGGCCGAGTCGAAATTTCAAATCTGAGTCTAGAAAGCGCTAATGTCACCTTTTAATCCTCCTGGTGCCAGCTGATAGATTAACGTAACTCCGCTGGGCAAATAGAAATTTTTATTTCGCTTTGTCCGCTTTGATCGCTTTGATTTCCTTAGACGCACTTTTTTTTAAGTACTTGCAATATTCTTTTTTTTTTTAATGTAACATAACTCTCAGTTACGAAACCAAAGTGTGAAAGTATTGGCACAATTGATGAAAAGTGCTAATTCATTACCTGCCATCGCAAACAGTTGTCGCTCATCAACGAACACCGAGCGATCAACAGTCCAAACATCCGGGACCTTTAAAGCGGTTAACAAATTTACCTTCGCGCTGTGCGGACTTTTCTAGAAGTTTCCATCGTTCCAAGCCGGCGAGCGATACACACACCGTCGACTATACGCACGTATCGGTGCGTGATTTATTGTTTCCCCGCGCAATCAAAACATCCGGGACTTTCAAGGCGGTCAAATTTACCTTTGCGCTGTACGGACACACTTTTACGGAAATTTTCATTCAGTTTCAAGCCGGCGAGCAACGCGCATACCACGGCGACGTGTGTCAGTTTGTGTTATTTAATCACTTCTCGGGCGATTGACTATTTTGTCGGATCTTTTGAGATACTTAACCCCGAGACGATTTCAAAGCCCGATATTTTAAAACTTGATCGCATCTATGGATTGACGCGCTGAATAGCTGAGAAGGGGGGAGAGAGAGGTATAGACCTCCCGCTTCCTCTTAAGTAATTTCAATAATTCGCCATCTTTAAAAGTAATTTAAATAATATGTATATCCAACGCTGCCTATATACTGAGAGAAATCATTCGATGAAAAATTAACATACGGATATTTCCGAATAAAATATCGATAAATTTCTGTATCCGATCAGGAAGCATCCGATAAGGAATATCGATTCATAATTTTTTGATCGATTTATCTGATGAAATGGCATTATGATTAAATTTTAATCGGATATCCCGATTGGATGTAAAAACTAATCAGAATTTGATCGGAAATGTCCGTTTGTTAATTTTGTATCGGATAACTTTTTTCTCTCAGTACAGTTTTGTAATTGTACCAATTTCTAATTCGGATCTGTGAGACTCACGTCAACGGCGTTAGCTTAACTAAACTCTCGTCGGCGTCGCGTTATTAACATGTGCATCTTTGATTGAATCTTATCTACGCGAGTGTCAGTGTCAGTGTTAGTGCTATGGCGGACAATCAAGATGCTGGCAGGACACATCATTTAATTTCAAGGTATGCCAAATCATTTGTTATACAGAAAGTTTTCGTTTTTAATGGACGTTTGGCGAATTCACTGAGAATAAGGATATATCCGAATCGAAATTTAGGCCGGCATTCATAGCTGTCATCATTCAGCTATATATAATTGTAGCTTTATTGATCTCCGACTAATTCAATCTCCGAATCTGTATTATATTACGTGATAAAAACATTCTAAACAGCAAAATAACGTTTCATGAATACGAACTTAAAATTAATTATATTCTCAATTAAACATAAATAATTTACGTAAATTAATTAAACGTAAATAATTTGCAGCTGAAATATCGGCCTCATAATGTAATATAAATCTATAGGTGCTGATGTTTATGTCTAATAATGCTCCGTGAGTCGTGTGATCTTGTTTAAGTCGGCCAATGTTTTTCTTATTATTTCTGATTAGTCTTGTTATTGTACGGAATCCACAAATTTAAGTCTGTTGGTAAATTGCATTATTGGACACGTAACTATTATTTTTGTTTTTACAGCTTTGCATCAGCACTTTTAAGAGCTACAAATCTCATCGAAATTTCTATAAAAAAAAGAAAAGAGAAAAATTGGGAAGAGATGAGATTAAGCATTGTTCTTTTACCCATTTACCCACATACTAATCCTTCTTAAATAATTTAACATCTGCTTATCCTAGATAGAGAGAACATCATAGTTCATATATATTTTTTTCAATTTTACTATGTAGTAGAAATGCAAGAATAAATTGTGTCAGTTTATCTTGCTAAGAACATAGTAAATTTCCCCCGAAACATAGCGAATTTTTTAATAGCGCATTTCAGTTTTTAAAATATAAATAGCACATATGGAATGAAAGAATAGTCAATACTGCCGAATGTCGATCTATTTCTCGGTTGCAAATTTCTATAGTTATTTTTATTATAGAACTTTCCATGTATATCTAAAGATTCTATATAATATTTATGAAATAATTTAAAAATTACAAGTAAATTATACTATACTGTACTCTCTTGAAAAGTTCTAGAGCTCTTTGCAACAATTTTAAATAGTTGCAAAGAGCTCTAGAACTTTTCAAGAGAGTATGAGAACTGCAAAAAAAATAGCACATTTTGAAATATGGTGCGATAAGTCTTGGCACACCTTAATTCAAAATGTGCCATTTTTTTGCAGTTCTGATACCCTCTTGAAAAGTTCTAGAGCTCTTTGCAACAATTTTTAATAGTTCCGGTCCTTAAATACAAAAAAATAGACTTTTACAAAAAGGTGCGCTAAGTTCTCGCAGCGCACCTAATCAAAAAAACTATTTAAATTAACTATTTCTTTAGAGATCCGGTTTGCTTTACAATAGTTCTACAGTTCTATATCAAATATAACAATAGTTTTAAAGAAATAGTTGATTTTACTGATTAAGGGCGCTTTGAGAACTTAGCGCACCTTTTTTTAAAAGTCTATATTTTTGTATTTAATGAGCGGAACTATTGAAAATTATTGCAAAGAGCTCTAGAACTTTTCAAGAGAGTATGAGAACTGCAAAAAAAATAGCACATTTTGAAATATGGTGCGATAAGTCTTGGCACACCTTAATTCAAAATGTGCCATTTTTTTGCAGTTCTGATACCCTCTTGAAAAGTTCTAGAGCTCTTTGCAACAATTTTTAATAGTTCCGGTCCTTAAATACAAAAAAATAGACTTTTACAAAAAGGTGCGCTAAGTTCTCGCAGCGCACCTAATCAAAAAAACTATTTAAATTAACTATTTCTTTAGAGATCCGGTTTGCTTTACAATAGTTCTACAGTTCTATATCAAATATAACAATAGTTTTAAAGAAATAGTTGATTTTACTGATTAAGGGCGCTTTGAGAACTTAGCGCACCTTTTTTTAAAAGTCTATATTTTTGTATTTAATGAGCGGAACTATTGAAAATTATTGCAAAGAGCTCTAGAACTTTTCAAGAGAGTATGAGAACTGCAAAAAAAATAGCACATTTTGAAATATGGTGCGATAAGTCTTGGCACACCTTAATTCAAAATGTGCCATTTTTTTGCAGTTCTGATACCCTCTTGAAAAGTTCTAGAGCTCTTTGCAACAATTTTTAATAGTTCCGGTCCTTAAATACAAAAAAATAGACTTTTACAAAAAGGTGCGCTAAGTTCTCGCAGCGCACCTAATCAAAAAAACTATTTAAATTAACTATTTCTTTAGAGATCCGGTTTGCTTTACAATAGTTCTAGTGTTATATATGATATAGAACTGTAGAACTATTGTAAAACAAACCGGAACTCTAAAGAAATAGTTAATTTAAATAGTTTTTTTGATTAGGTGCGCTGCGAGAAATTAGCGCACCTTTTTTTGAAAGTCTTTTTTTGGTATTTAATGGAC